GCTGCTGCTGCTGCTGCTGCTGCTGCAGCTGCTGCATTGGCGTTAGCTGCCCAGCAGCACCTGCTTTATGTGCGGGTCTATTTCTGCTGCTGCTTTGAGGGTTTGCTGCAGCAGCAAAAGACACTCTTCTCTGTTAGCAGCAAATTCGTAGAGGGTTATGAGGTTCCTCACGCTCGAAGGAGCCACGCCCAGCTGCGCGCAAACCCTAAACCTTAAACCCTAAACCCTAAACCCTCGCTGCCGCCAAACCCTAAACCCTAGCTGGCGAGAAACCCTAAACCCTCGTGGGCAAAGCGAGCCGCGGGCTCCAGCGGGAGGCCCCTCTGTGCGGCTCCTGCGTCCCTGCGCCTCGCCCGCCCTCCAAACCCCAAACCCCAAACCCTAAACCCTAAACCCTAAACCCTAAACCCTCGCGTACAGGGCTCCCCTGCACCAGCCCCTCAAGGGCCCCAGTAGCGTCTTCAAGCCTTTTGCTGTAAAACTTCGCCACTGCCAAATTGCTGCAGCAAATGCAATGAGCTGAAGGCCAATACACTTCACAACTGGGGCCCCAACCCTCTGGGGGCCCCCCGGGGGGCCCCCCAGGGCCCCCGGGGGCCCCCAGGGGGGCCCCCAGAGAGGCCCCCAGGGGGGCCCCCAAGGGGGCCCCCAGAGATAAGGGGGAGGCTGGGGGGCCCCCTGCTGCTTGTGCTGCAGCATCGAAGGCGTCAACTGCTGCTGCAGGTCTGCGGGTGAAGAGCAGCAGCAAGCCGCTGCACAAACACGCCAAACCCTAAACCCTAATTCGTGGTTTGACACGCCAAACCCCAAACCCTAAATCGCGGTTTGACACACCAAAACCCTAAACCCTAAATCGCAACCGGCGCCTGGGCAGGCCCCGCACTAGCCTGCGGCCGAAGCTGGAAACCGCTATGGCCTAGGGTTTAGGGTTTAGGGTTTAGGGTTTAGTTACTGGTTCGTGTTGCTTATGCAGCTGTCTGGGGATGCCGCGCAATCTGCATAAGAGAAATACTGCTCTGCGCAGTCCGTACACCCCATCTGCACACAAACCCTAAACCCTAAACCCTAAGCTCTAAACCCTAAACCCTAAACCCTAAACCCCAAGGCCTGGAGCAGGCAGTGGCGCGAGCAAGAAGCCTCAAGCGGCTCCCGAGCCTCAGTCGAGAGTACCTGCCAGCGACTGAACGCCACAAAAACCCTAAACCCTAAACCCTAAACCCTAAACCCTAATTGTCCTACCTTGAGGGAAATGCGCCCCATGAGGGACAAAGTCGAAAGAGATCCTCCATCTATTGGCAGCACTTCCTCCTGCAGCAAATGCAGCGCCTCCTGAAACAAAAGCAGCAGCAGCAGCAGCAGCAGCAGCTGGTGCAGCAGCAGCAGCAGTATGTGTGAGTGCTGCTGTGCTGCGTAAGCAGCAGCAAAGGGAATGCCAACTGCAGCAGAGCCACAGCTCTTATCGAAAGCGCAGCAGCAAGTCAAGCAGCAACGGCAGCAGCAGCAGCAGCAAAAAGACAGCGGCAGCAGCAGCAGCAGCACCTCAGGGTAGTTTGCTGCAGTCAAGACTACGGCTAAGAGGGAAGCAGTTTTGATGCGTCTGGCCCTCCACAGGCGCTGGAGGTCGGTGGTGGGGTTGTTGTCATCTGCTGCTGCTGCTGCTGCTGCTGCTGGCTGCTGCTGCTGCTGCTGCTGCTGCTTGCAGTGCTGCAGCAGCAACGCCAACGCAGATACCGAATCCACAGGCTTCCCCCAAAGGTGAGGAGCAACAGCAAGCAGCAGCCGCAAACTAAACGGCACCATGCTGCCCCTGAAACGCACAAACCCTAAACCCTAAACCCTAAACCCTAAACCCTAAACCCTAAAGCCTAAACTATGAGGTACAGGCTCGGCCAAGGCGTGCCACGCTGCCAACAACGCGGCAAGCAGCAGCCCTTTAAGACACGTCGCCTCAGCCCTCAACCCCAAACCCTAAACCCTAAACCCTAAACCCTAAACCCTACTTTTTCCCAGGGTATTGATCTGGGTGGCTTTCGTAGTTCCAGTAAGGGGCGGAGAGATCTCCTAAAGCTGCTGCCTCATCAGCAGCAGCAGCAAACGACTGAACACAAAGAGGATGCAACTTGAAGGGTTTAGGGTTTAG